TTGGGCCTCACACTCACAGTTAAATAGTAAAATTAGGAGATTAGCCAAAAATTGCCAATCTTCATTTCTTCAACTAATTATTGGTGACGTTGCTCCTTTTTTGCTTTTATTTTCGTTTTGTAGCGGTGGTCGTCATTGGGGAATATACTTATCAGTAAAATAAACAATAATAAACAAACTATAGAGGGTCAAGGCAAGGTCTAATTGTATGTATTCTGTATATTTGTATACCCTGGCTATAAAGCGAAAATCATAGATATAGGGTCTACTTAAATTGTCGCTTTCTATTGACATTACTGTTAACCCCCTCCTTTGTGAGACATTGTGGCAATATTAATAGGTATATAATATATTACACCTTTTGTAACCTTTGTACTTCAGATAATCCAACCTAATGTTAGATAAAAACAATAAAGGTGACGTGTTCTCATATAGGTTAAACCTCAAGTAGGTCTATCGATTTATAAAACTGAAATGAAATGGCGTTTAATGTCTTACTTTTCTGCTCCGACTGGGCTAATCGAAACGGACATACGCCATACACTGTGCTATGAGGGCGATTTTGCCCGGACAGTGGAGTTACGGTCTTCTATTATTTCAAATTCCAACTGTCAAGGCTTCTTTTACATGCAAGCCAATGTGTACAGGGAACCTCAGTTTTTGTTCCTTCCGAACGACTATGCGTTATCCCTTGCCAAGCCGTCTGTCCTACACCTCTATAAAATTCCGCGGTCATCAACACCTATGTATTTTTCACAGAGGCATAGTCTTATGCGCATTGCTGTATATCTTAAAGTCCAGTTGTCTTTGTGGCTACCTACTGTTTGCTACTACTACTACTACTACTAAGGCAATGCCCCACTCCCAAATCTTTGCCCGCCTCACAAAGATTACAAGATAAAGAACTTTTATGTGACGTCATATCAAATATCGAAGTCGACCAATCGATAACCAAAATACCATCATATCACGTTTCGACTCAATCGGGATTGAATTAGCGACGACCTGGGCTTTTATCGAAGAGCATCACACACAAGAACAAAATGAATAGAGCTTGATGACCGATTCCTGTTCCAAAAATATAAACCAAAATTGACTAAGTTCCCTTACGTAATCACAATAACCAACCATATGACTTGTGCTGCAGGATGACCACACCACACACAACCAAAACCCATGAGGCAGAATCATACATAGTCATTGCAAACAATAAACAATAAACGATATGTATTAAATCAAGTGAATCAATCCACGGAACCTCCTTTTTGTTCCACCGATAGACTTGACGCTGTTCCTTATCTGACCCTCCGTCTTGCATCATTGACAAGGGGGAACCAGTCCGGAAAATCCCGAGTAACTTTCTGGGGAGCGTGATTAGGAAATAGAAACTCTTTACGTATCAAGATATATTCTATCAAACTCTTTGTTTGTCAAATAATTGTATTTTTATCACATTATCTGGATTATTATGGGTAGTGCTGGGTGGTAGTTGATATTATTATGGTTAGTGTTGGGTGGTAGTTGAGAGTATTAGGTTAGTACTGGATAGTAGGTGATAGTATTAAGTTAGTGCTGGGTTAGTATTGGATATAAATGTGGTTAGTATTAGGTTTTACAGGGTTAGTATTGGGTTAGTACTTGGAAATTAGTATTGGATATAGGATATAAATGTGGGTAGTATTAGGTTATATTGGGTTAGTATTGGATATAAATGTGGTTAGTAATGGGAATCTGATTCCCGTTATTGCCAGACCTTCGTGGTGCCCCTATATTCGTTCTCAACAGTGGAAAATACACCAGTTGATATCCGCTTACTCAATTGAACAGGGATTATTCTTCATTGATTATCAACTGTGTCTTTACAAGAATACTATATGCCCGTATAACTTGTAACGGATATTGTTTTATTGTTGGGTAATGAGTGTAAATTATTGTTCTGGTTGCTCACATGATGACAATAGAGTGAATGAATGATTTATAAATGCAGATACTTGAAAATCAATACATTCTAATAATAATAAACAATGCTTCTTACAAAACGGCTTGTCATACATGTGTATGTTAAATACAGTTATGTGTAATGTCAGGTAGGCAGTTTAATGTCCCCAGTTTCTGTGCCCGACAGGCTTTCAGTTTGCTGTGAATAAAGTTTTACCCGGATAGCCTGGATTCGCTTCGTTGAATACCACCTGGCAATGGTTCGTTTACGCATGTAAGTGGGTAAGACGCTGGCTCGCCGCTAGTCTGGAGAAAGTTCGTCGGAGATTTTCGACGTGGTTTCCCCTTTTGGCTTCTCCTTACACAGAGAATTCTTTATAATAACATTGTCTCATCATTCAAAATTATTAAATCTAATACTCCATTTTATCTAAACTCCTATTTTATTGAAAAATCTCTTGATTCCAAAACTGATATATTGCTCCGTTCACAGACCAGTAAATCTCTTTTCCTTCCGAAATGCAAAACGGAATCCATGAAACGTACTTTTCATTATTCTGCATGTCTTTTGATATAAAGATGTGTAAAAGTGTTGAAAACTTTAAGATTAAACTGAAAACTCATATTGAGCACTGAAGAAACCATAATATTCAACTGATGACATACTTATTATTTTGTGCGTAATTATAATTATCTTCCTATATTCTACTTGTATAATAAATATGTTTTGTAGTTTAGGAGTGACTTCCCAAACTTCCCACTTTAAAATGTATTGCATTTCAAATGATTATGCATTCATCCTGATATTGCATGTATATATGTCTTTGTAGCTTAGGAGGGACTTATGGAAGAATAGGGTTTTTTTTAATAATAAATAAGTTGCCTCATTAAATAAAGGTTTTTTTATTATTATTATTATTATTATTATGTTAGTGGTGTAGGACGAAGGGCCTGACCAGGACAGCTGTCTAGTCGTTCAGATGGGACGAAAAACCGAGGGCCCGTGTATACATTGGCATGCACGTAAAAGATCCCTTGCCAGTTGGACCTAGTGCCACTGGCCGGGTAAAATTTCCATCATAGTCGGTGAAGTGTCAAAAGGGTGTATCTAAGAATTCCTAAGGATTAAGAGTGGTGTAGGACGAAGGGCCTGACCAGGACAGCTGTCTAGTCGTTCAGATGGGACGAAAAACCGAGGTCCCGTGTATACATTGGCATGCACGTAAAAGATCCCTTGCCAGTTGGACATAGTGCCACTGGCCGGGTAAAGTTTCCATCATAGTCGGTGAAGTGTCAAAAGGGTGTATCTAAGAATTCCTAAAGATTAAGAAATAGAACCTTTTGCATTTCAAAATTTCCACAAATCAAGATCCAACATTTGGACACATGATATCCAGGACAGTTCTAATTGGCGTAGAGATACACAGCTTAGACATAAATGTGCATATTAATTGGGAGATTTTAAAAAATGCAAAAAAGTGTATTTGACTAATTTCCCGAGATACACCCTTTTGACACTTCAATACAAGTTTTTTATTTAAAGTGTAGCACATACTACGGCAAAAAAGAAACACTGTACGGCATATACCAGGGGTTGCCGGTGAAAGTGGAAACACTGTACGGCATATACAAGGGGTTGCCGGTGAGAATAGATACAGTGGGTCAATTTAAGTCCAGTGTTACACTTATGTTAAGGTTGTTCGGGAGCCACGGTGGCTAGGTGGTTAAGACGCTGGCTCGGGGGTCGGGTGTTCGATCCCTGCATTGGCCGAGAAAGTTCATCTGGATTTTCCGACGTGGTTTCTCCCTTGTCAGTGGTGCAGAACTGAGGGCCTGACAAGGACAGCTGTCTAGTTCTTCGGATGAGACGAAAACCCGAGGTCCCGTGTATACATTGGAATGCACGTAAAAGATCCCTTGGCGGTTGGAATTCGATATAAGAGTAGGCCGTAGCGCCGCTGCCCGGGCAAAATTTCCCTCATAGCACACTGTATGGCATATGCCCGTCTTCATTAGCCCAGGCTAGGAGCAGAACAGTAGGACGTTAAACCCCATTTCATTTCATTTCTTTAAGGTTGTTTTGTGTAACTGGTGTTGTTTTAACACTTGTGATTACACCAGTTTAATACCATTATTAACAATGGTGGTTTTTGTCCCATGTCCTAACGCATTCAATTCTTGGCATATGTACAGATTTTAGTGCAGTTAGAATTCTAGGAATAGAAGCAAACATACCACTGGGAAGATAAATCCCCCCCCCCCCCCCGGCATTGAAAACATGATCTTTGAAATAAAATTCACCACATTGGCACTCTAAAGTATGTACTGCCTAAGATATTTTTATCACAATTTTACAAAACACATGAAACATTGTGTGTAGCTATTTTGATAAACTGAATAAATTGAGGCGCCTTTTCACCAAAAAGCTTTAAATTGGATTCAATGTCCTACAATTCAGCACCGATTGAGCACATGAAAACTGTCGTACACCATGTGTGTCATGCGAAACATTTTGCCCAGGCAGTGGCGGTACGTTATGGTCTTATTTCGAATTCCATCTGTCAACGGTTTTCGTACATGCATGGCAACGTGTACCATCCGACCGACTAGAGACTCCCCTTATCAGCCCCGACTTCCTGCACTATAACAAGGGACAACAACGTCTGACAATTCCCATTAAATATCTTGACCAACATCAGGATCTTTCCCCTATTCATTGAGTCACCACGGCTCCCCCTAAAGTTTTAACTATAATCAGATTGGCCAGTTAATGTGTATCATTTTTTGGTCCAAATTAACACAAGGATTTGCTTTATGTGACCGAGATATTTTCTTGAAAAGACATGAAAACGTTCTTTAGGATAAATAATAATTGCCAAATAACCTAGTATTGGTGCATGGCAACATATAAACATTTACAAATATTGACCTACTCGGATACACAAACAAACGTTATGCTTCATTTATCCGATCGCTTTTCAATTCATTGACCTTTTGTTGGTTGTCTACTAATATATTAATACAAATATTCATATCTATGTAAAATATATCACAGATAGATTTGGGATATCAAGAGTTAAACATCGTAATAAATAGTGTGAGAAATTATTCAAATCGATCTGTCAAGATGTCGCAAGGTTTGTTATTCTCTTCTTGGAGTATATTGGATGATTTTTAATAGTTAAATAATTTTAAATTACAAATAAATCAATCGAGAATTATAAATTATTTAAATTGAGGTAAACACTTTTGATTTGTGCTTTTAATTGTGTAAATTAATTTGTTAAAATATCTTTTTTGTCTTAAATTACAAATATTAATATTAATATTATATTCGTCTTTGAGCGATCAGAATGGCGGTTTGGAAGAAATATAAACCAATAAAAAACATAAATAATTTAAATTACGATAGACATTATTAATATATTGATTTATTATATTATTATATTAATATATTGATTTATTATATTATTATATTAATATATTGATTTATTATATTATTATATTAATTATTAATTATTAATTATTTAAATTACGCTAAAGGCTTTGCGCTTTTATTTGTCTAAATTAATTTGTCAAAATCCCCTTTCCTTTTCAATTACAAATATTATTATCATTATTATTTAAACTTTTAAAGTTTGAATTTTCATTATCTGTTAACCGTTGAATGGGTTTTTTGTTGTTTTTTTTATAAAAAAAACTTTACACTGTGTATGTTGATAAACTCACCTGTATCGTTACTTTGAGCACATCAATACTCGTTTACATAAATTTATCTAATTGTGAATCGGCTTTGTTTTGTTAATGTTAGGTGGATACGATTAACACGATTTGTAAGACTGACAACAATATATAATAAGACCTGATTGGATCACCACGATTACCCCACGATTAAAACCATCATTTCAATCGTAGCGCAAATCGTGATAGTGGGAACCTAACACAATCCATCAATAATGCTCTCAGATTATTTGTAATTTTCCTTACAAATATTTTATCATGATTAATTAATTAAACGGTATAAATAAATTGTATTTTATTTGTGCGGGGAATGTGTTCGTATTTATTTTTAGGGGTTCGGTTTGAGAGGGAGGGATATATTTTTAATAAGACATATTGGGACATTATATATATATAAACAGGGAAAACAGTAAAAATTAATGGAAATGTACATTTTAAAGTTAAACAATCTATGACATGTAAAAGTAAAAATGTTATATATTTGATAATATGTCCAGGTTGTAATGAAGAGTATATAGGCAAAACCGAATCACAACTGAACATAAGGATGAACCTACACAGATCCCACATTGCTAATCCCAAAAATAGAATGATTCCACTAAGTGAACACTTTGATACATGTGGAAAGGGAAAATTTAGGGTATTCCCCTTATATAAACTCAACTGGTCGGATAATAATTTGCTAGAAAATAAAGAACGGCATTTTATTAACAAGTATCACCCTAAATTAAATGCTGCATAATTTTATATTGGAATTTGATATTGTAAAATATTTATATTTGGTATTATTATTGTCATGTATATATATGTATTAATAACGCCATGACGTCATGTAATTGTATACTATCTCATTATTAAATGCCTGATGATCCCCGTAGTGGGTGAAAGCGCTAGCTAAGATGAAATTAGTTTTTCCTTTCTAAAAACATCATTTTTCTATATACTTTTACCTGAGAGTAGAATCTTTTATTTATTTATTTTATTTATATGTATATATATGTATGTATATGTATATATGTATATATATATATATATGTGTATATATATATATATATATATATATCACTCTGGTTACAGGTCAAAAGGGCTATCCACAACAACAATATGGACATCAGCAAGGACAACAGCATGGACAACAGCAAGGATATGGACAACAACATGGACAACAGCAAGGATATGGACAACAGCAAGGATACGGACAACCAAGACAAGGGCAGAATACGGTCGTTGTAAGTATCAACCAAAGCAGCGGTTAATTTATCTACAGGTTTTGGAATAAATACATTTTATATATGTGCCATTTTTCTGGCACGTACTTTTATTATCCAGTCCAGTGGACATGCAAATCTTATTTCTTTCAATATGATTTAAAATTCAACGGCTATTTTTGTTTCGTTAACCGACAGATTATGGTCGTCGAAGAAATAACTAGTATACAAGTTTTAAGAATAAAGTAACGTGTCATATCAGCTCAATCAACTTTCAAATCTTATTTATTTCATTATATGTTATTTTCGTTCCCCTTTTTTGATTGGAAAGCCTAATATGTTCTTCGAAGAAACAATCGAAAATAAACCGAAACGAAATGAAATAGCCGATTACTTTTATTTGATCTTCTAGACACCGGAGTCAGACTAGTTGTGTGTGTTTGGGTGGCGTGGGAAGGGTGGGGCCAATCATGGTGGCTCCGTATGTACCATACTGGATAACTAACTGGGAAAGTCCTCCCGGCTTTAAAGTGTGGTTTCCCCTAGTTCTGGGACGGAAAACCTAGGTCCCATGTACACGTATCGGACCCCTCGACAATTGAGATGTTATTGATGCCCGGACAAAATTCTTCTCTTAACGCTCTGTACGGCATATGCCCGATATCATTAGCCGGCTTGGTGCAGAATAGTACGACGTTAAACCTTTTTTCATTCATTGAGCTTGGGCAGCTTTGGATCAACTGTCGTATACTCTATTTAGAGAGATACATTGTGGGAGATTAGAGCTGACAGTTCTCGCTATAATAGTAATAAACTAGATAATGTAAAGGGAATTTGCTGAAAATGTCTGTCAAATTGATCCAAGATATAGCCATTGAATGTTTGGCCTAGCCTCGATTATCATTACTAAAGTAGGTACGATAACAAAAACATAGTCTTGATTATACATTTCATGATTAAATCATGAATGGAAGTCCAACAGCAAATCGTAACCTAGTCCAATAAACATCGCAGGCTAGAATGACCAACACATTATCACCAGTAAGAAATATTCCAAACACAAAGCTAGCACCGAGCGCAGAACAGATTAGACACTTGTAACCTGCAAAATGTTAAAAGAAAAGGGGAGGGAGTATACGCATAAGGGTTAAGCACCCCCCTCCCTCTTCCCCGCCACCCCCGCCGGCCCCCGAAAATCACACCGCCCAAACTCACCCCTCGCACACCACATGTACATAATCTATTAACGCTTAAAAACCACACCAGTATTGATGTACAGAAACTGTTAACGATTAAAAACTCGTTTACACACACAAGCAAGAATGATTATGTTGATTTCAGTATTATTCCTTTATGTTGACGCCGTGTTGAATTTTCCTGACTATACAATGAAGGGCATGGATACTTGACCTACATCGTCGTTTACATTCTGACATTGTTCGCTTATGTTTATGCGTTGTAGTGTCTGGGTAGTCGTAGGCTAATGGTTCGAGGGAGGGTGTCGCTAAGTTTGAAGCGGAAAAAGGGGTGGGGGTATAATTGGGTTTCTCTGTGGAGATAAGCGTTATTACACGACTAGAAATGTTTCTGATTAACAATTATTTCTGATTTTAGAATAAAAACATAAATGGAGTTTGTTATCTTTAAAGTTTAAGTTTACTCCGACATTCCCACAAGCGAGTTATTGAAACCAAATTATACCAATATGTTAGTCCCAAAATGACCTAGTTTGCGCCAAATCTTGATATTTTGTTGGTAGTTATAATTAGCCGAGTTTATAGGGTTACAAAATATGATATATATGATTGCTATTCTCTTTGAATGTTCTAATTCTTATTAAATACTGGAACAGTTTATAAACCATCTGATTACAATACAGATCTATATTTCGTTTCTTTTATATATTTTCCCTAGTCTCCACTACATTTAGATCTGACCGGTTGTTGAGGGAGCTCGTGTTTTGAAAATATAACTTTTGCTGTGTTTCATTTTTTCAATTTTTTTCCTACTGCTGCCTACCCAAAGTGTATTGACGACGAGTAAATCAAAATTGTGAACTATAAAAACGAAACCAAAAGATGGATCTATATTTTGAAAAAAATGACACTTGTCAACTAGAATAAAGTCTGTATTTCAAAAGTCTTACGGTTGCCACCACGGTGATGGGTGTGACTCGTGAGGTAAAATTTACCCTTTAATGAATGAACATCGGACAAGGCTTTCATGTGATTTGTTCGCTTGCTTCCTATTTTACCGTGTTCGTATACTATACTGAACATTTGACCACTGGTTAAAAGCCATGGCGTGGTATCGATGTCACACATGTACGAGACAAGGAATGTGACCGCCTGTCCACCATCGTGGGTTTACTCCGGGCCCAGTGCTAAAGATCCAGTCGTAAATCGAATTATTGAAATACAATGGCACCATATGATAGTAGCATTGTTTGTGTCAAGTGGACGTTAACCGCATTATCTTTCTCTCAAAGTTTGTTGTGTTTTGTGTTTTTGATTTGTACATTCTAATATATTTTCAGGTACAACAACCCCAGTTAGTAAGCGTCCAGAATATGAGGCCACCGGATTATTTAATCTTTTCGATATTCACTTGCCTCTGTTGCTTCTGTCCTCTTGGATTAGTTGCCCTTATCTTTTCTATAATGGTACGTTCATTTTATTTTAAGATACGTTATGTAAGATTTAGATAAACAGCTATAATAGTTCAAACATAGATAATGACAAGGAAAATTCAGATTACTTTATGTTGAGTCAAGTTATGAATGCTTGAAGTTTTAGCAATAATAGCCTAGTCTCGATTGCAGAACAATTTGGGATGAGTATTACGTGTAGGATAATGCACGAGACTGTGGTTAGGCTGGGGAAAGAAGGACTGAAGAAAATAACCCGATAAAAAGAAATACCGAGGCCGGTACTCCGAGGTGGATTTTTTTCGAGTTTTTTTTCTGAAGTCTTTCTTGCCCGGCATAAAAGAAGTTGAGGACTTTATCTTGCTTATAAACCGTCTATGTTTGCATGTGCGTAAAATGAGAATATCCCAGAATTCCAGTAAGAAAAAACTTAAATCATGTTTTCTGATGTAAAATAAAAACCTACTATAGAAAAATAATCCGTTAAAGGTTTAAAGAAAAACTTTCCGAAGTATAACCCCAAATTCCATTGTACATATGCAAAGCCACCCCGACTTTCAGAGCGCAAGTTATTCCGAGCATAGAATATACCCCGAATATCAAAGAGATTTGCCGTTATAGGTTTATAATGGTTGTTATAGAATAGGTATATTTTGAGCACAAGGAACAAAAATAGATACGTAACCGTTGTGACATTCATCGTCACGGAATCAAGTTGAAACACGGGTAAAGAACAAAAGAATCAAACCGGATACAACTTGTCAGCTATCTGGAATATACAGGTGAAAATACAGGTGTTGTGAATAGAAATTGATGATATAAGATATTTTTAAATTAGAAATGTTAATGTTCATCATTTTTTGTGTTCATTTATTTTTCAGTCGAGATCGTCATTTGATGGTGGGGATGTTGAAGATGCCAGGTCAAAGGGTAATACAGCCAAGATAATAAGTATCGTAGCCCTGGTTCTTGGTATCTTAACTATTATTCTCGCCATCGTGCTATATGTTGTGCTCGTTGCCACTGCTGTATCAGCTGTTTCATCCATCACAGGCTAGAGGCTAAACATATTAATATTCAGAACATTTTAAATATCTCCAGGAACAGAAATTGTGTAAGACTCAATCTTTTAGGCTCTAAAAGAAAGACATTGTTATTTATAAACTATATGTGTTAAATAATTCGAATTTTTATATGACAGCGATTTTATAAATTTTTATAATAAAAACAAGAAAAACATCGGATATTGTTACAATTTGTTGACTGTGAACGAGAAGAGGTGAATCTACTCATACAAGAACACGTTATGCCACTTCCCGGATAAGGTAAAGATGTCGTCCGCCTGTATTTTAACCCTGTGTGTGCTAAAACACAGATCTGTTTAGGCTCACATCACTCCATACTGAGGAAACAGAGGTTCAGTGTATATGGATGGCGCTGACAAATTAGCCATGAAGTCCGGGGTTCAGTTGACCGAGGACGTTTTCCTAGATTTTCCCGCGCAGTTCTCATGTCAATTACGCAGGACCATGGAAGGGGGTGGGTGCTACAGGAAATATCGTCTAGTACTTCCGATGATACGAAAACCCTTAGTCCTTTGTACAGTTAGCTTGTTACAGTGGGTACACCCCAAGGCAACTCTATTCATGATTTATTGAATTGTGTGTACGGCTAACGGTGACTCCATCTTACAATGTCTCGCTAGAGTATAAATATACAAAATTATAATTCTTTAGAGTGTGTTAGAAATGGACAAATAAATATTGAAATTAGATACCCTTTACTTTAGTTTAATGATATCTTTTTTATAAAAATGACCAGCCTTGACTCACGAGTCATTTAACAGTATAATATTACAAGCTTGTTTATGGTATAAATAGGGGATAGTATTATTTCAACATAATTAGACGTTATGGGTGATCAAGTTAAAAACTAATTTAATCAATAAAATATATTCAGGTAAATGTTCCAACCTGAATTAAATTATCACAAGATTTTAATCTGATAGGGGCTACAACCGTCTTTATATTAGATAGGGGCTACAACCGTCTTTATATTATATAAAGAATACAAATATTCAACACATGGCAAGAAGACGACACCATGACTCAAATTAATAACTAAATGAGTCCTCTTTCTCAAGAAATAAATAGGATTTTGCATTCGTTCGTGAGGCTAATTGTCCGCTTCCACTGAGTGTGGTATTGCAGGTCAAAGTTTCCTGGAAAAGTTGCCAGAAGAGACAGTTTTATTTGAGAGGCTTGTCCAGCATAGGATTTGAATGTGAGAGACATAATACGAAATGCCCCCTCCCCCATTCTTACTTTAATCCCAAGACGTTGATCTGGCACAATTAAAGCACCAATATTGACCTATAAATACAAATATTGACCTATAAATACAGATATTGACCTATAAATACAAGTGTCCAAGCGATGACAGGATTGTTCTTACCCCATTACACAGGAGTTGCACCTCGGTACTTGTAGAGTAAAATTAAACAAAACACTAATCTGGATGATTTAAAGCAGGTGCTGACTGACCCTTATAGCCACTCTCGTGGAATCTTCGAATGGTTGATAAAAATGTGGATGGATGGCAGAACAAAATAATAATCATATACAGAATATTGAGTACCAGATAATCTAATTAAACCACAACTAATTCATTATATTAAACTATAAATATACTTATGGAAAACAGCTACTGATTTATTTTGGCGACGTTTCGAAGAGTATTCTCTCAACGTTTTCAAGCGAGAATAATCTTCGAAACGTCGCCTAAATAAATCAGTAGCTGTTTTCTACAAGTATATTTATAGTTTATTTATCTGCTCAGTTATTAAAGGCAACATAAAGAATATTATTCTATATAAGGTTATCCTTCAATGATAAATTTAAAGGGGGTATCTATTATAGCGATATATTACGATATTTAAACGTGTCTTAATGTGAGGTCAATTAACAGAAATGATGGAGAAAGTTCAATGAAGACCCTAAAGTAGCTCGGTTTAATGAAAACTGTTTTAAGTTAGAATACACTAGTTATATTCATTATAACAAAATACATGACAACAGCGTCATTATGACATAAATATTGACCTAAATATGTCTGAATTAAGAAAATGATAAAAAGTAAGTGGGTAACTTCCAGGCTAATTGTAGCATCACAATAGTGGATGTCTTTATACGCGAGCATTTCATTTGGGAGTATATTGCCGTTATCACTCCCAGTCTGAAATTGTTCAGCTTATTTTATCCAAGTTCAAACTGACCGCCATGAGATACTGGGGTGGGGGGGGGGTCTAGTGGCCTAACGCGTGCGCGTGAAATCATCGAGTCCGAAAGCGGGGTTTCATGACAAAGGGTAGGGTCGCCTGACCAACCTCGTGGGTTTTCTCCGGCTCCTCCGGTTGCGTCCCACAGCTAAAGATCCCCAAACCCAAGCGAATTATTGAAATACATTTGAGCCATATGTTAGTCCCGAAATGATCCCAGTCTTTTCGAAGAGAGAGAGGGGGGTGGGGGGTAATGTCCACTCGACACAAACTAGGTCATTTCGGGACTAGCATATGGTTCAATTCTTTTTCATTAATTCGCTTGTGCGTAGAGGTTCTTTAGCACTTGGGGGGGGGGGACTGGAGAACCTAGAAAATAAAAACACGAGGTTGGACAGGCGACCCTACTGTTGTCACGTACAAGCGGAGAATCGAAACTACTCCACTTGACTCAATGACAGACATTGCAATGCAACGCCACCCAACTCTACTTATACTGTTTGTAAGACGGGAACCTCGAATAAAGACAGTTTTATGGACAACAATCGTCAACAACATTGATAGTGTCATGGTTCTACAAATATTCGCTTGTCGTTATCAAGTACAAGGTAAACTATAATATGGTAGAAAAAGCTGGGAGTGAAGTCATCATCGCTATTTATATATCTAGACCAGTGAACCTTGTGAAATAGCTATACAAGCAAAGGTCACATTATTTCAGCATATTAAACCTATACGTAAGTATAATAAAACTATTATTACCTATATAAAATCTTTCTCTTGCCAAATAGCGTCTAATGAGATTTTTATTAATATCACATTGTACACTGTCACCATGTTTGCTTCGATACTGTAACTCATTGTCTATTGGTTTACACTATGACCTGTTTCTCATAAATTATATCTCTTGTCATCATAAATGGTTCTAAGAAATCTGGAGTAGCTGATTCGAGATTGGCGGGTAGGTAAAGGATTGGGTGTAAAGGTTAATTCGTTTGTGATCACAATAAATAGCCGTTAACTAAATCGTTTGTACTTTAAGGACATATAGCTTTATTCTTCGAACCATGAATTAGACCATGATAGGTCTAAAAGCACACATTTAATGTAATAGGAATGTATATAGAATGCCTTGTATTAATTTGTAATGTAATAGGAATTTATATAGAGTGCCTTGTATTAATTTGTAAAAGAAATTATTGTAATTCTTTTCAATTATGTTCGGTGAAATACATGAACGACAATGCTTTACTCCTGCTTAGTCCATTCCACATGTTTTTTTTTACTATTATTATTTGTCCTTACTAATTACGTTTACATTGCCCCGTAGGTCCCTTGTACATTTTGGCGTGAACGTAAAAGAGCCATTGACTGTTGGAATTCGATATTAGAGTAGCTGGTAGTGCCTCTGTCTGGGAAAATGGTCATCATTAGCTCAGTCAAGGGCCAGCATAAACGGAGCGGGATTCTATCCACTCGACACAATCTACGTCATTTCGGGGGGACTAACACGTGCTTCAACAGTGGGAGGAAACCGGAGGACCCGGAGAAAACCCAAATGTGGAATCGAAATCATGCGGGTTGACTCAATGATATAGAGCGCACGCACTTACCATTCGGATATCCAACCTCCTCTGGTTCCTGGGTCACATTAGAATCGCGGTGCCCCTACCGCTAAGAAAAGATTATTTTATATCCTTTTGAATGGCACGCATGCGCAACACAATTAAACGGTGCGCAATATGAGAAGAAAGTACATAATATCTGATCAAATAGGCAATCTATTCAGTAGGCGCGGAAATAACATATAATGCACAGAAATAACATATAATGCACAGAAATGACATATAATGGCATGGAACTGTTATAACTAGTGAAATCATCCGATTGTTCAGTTGTTACAGACTTCAGAGCGATTTAATCCGTCTTGGTCGAACGTTAGCGATCGCCTATGTAACGGATTTTGACCAATCACAGAGAAGGTTGAGGGATGGCAGGTTCACCCAGTCTCCGCCCCTCGCGCCGCTAGACCGATGAGTGGAACTTTCGTCTGGAATTTAGAAGGGTTTTTTTGTTCTCTTTTTGTCATGAATCGAGGCCCCTTAAATCGCATACTGTTAAGAAAAACAATGTCATTTCACTTTTTATTAAACTTCTCTAACAGCATATTATTTCTCAACAGATTCTGGCAATCAAGTTATTTATGAAGGTTGTTTAGTACTGATTCTAAAAATTTCTTCCAGATTTATTAATCTTGATTTTCAAAACGGGGCACAATCTTCTGTGCGACTGTGTTTATTATTTAAAACATGTTTTGATAATCAAGTCTATGTTGGCAACTGTGGGCTCGATTGACTTCTTACTCTAGATTGGGCCGCCTTCGGGGCGACCTTCGGCTATAACTTTTCACTACTAGTGGTCGTAACTAAAAACCGAATGCGGATGGTCAGGGCCATCATCTTTTCAAAGACGGCTCCCCGGGGGGGGGGGGGGGGAATGGTATAATGCCATTATAGACCTCGACCATAACCCTGAAAATAAACCCTTAAGCTCAAGGAAGATATAAACATCTCTCCATGGAGGATAATGAATTGCTAGTCTCTAAGATGAAATAAGATTTATTGCATCTAAATACCCCATTAGAGGCAGCATACAAATACGAACAAAACATTAAATACATAATGAACATGACAATGGCTAATACAAGAAAAGCCCCCCCCCCCCCGAAAAAAACACAAAGAAAACAAACAATAAACAAACTATATTTAAATGCTGTATACATGTCTTGAAAACATGTACATCTATACATGTATACTAACAGGGGCTATATTATGTTATATAGTTTAATAAACAAATTATACTTTCATGAAGTTAAATTTGCGCGACTCAAATTATGTTTAGAAACGACAAAATTCCGTGTAATTTGTCTTCACATTTTGCATAGCATAAATATTGAAATAATGCGTATTTTTTAGACATTCAGACATAACATACGAGACAAAAAATATCTGCTCATAGACGTAGCAACCATTTAAAAAAAATCAAGCTTTCCTAAAGTCATATACTTAACAAAAATAGATTCTTTCTAAATATTCTGTAACAGTGTAAATCTTCGATAATAACTAAAGACTGGAACTATCCTTGAGACTATTTATTACCGGAAAACATTTAACATCATATACGGAGAACAGCAGAGTAACTGTCCCTGAAACGGGATGAAACCTAGAATGCTTTGTCAATGTACAAATCGGTATTTATAATAAAATGGTATCTTAGGAATTAACAATATACACCAAGGTTACTAATAACAATTAAAGGGGGGGGGGGGATTAAAATATGAAAGAAATTACGGTAAAATAAAACAATAAGATAATAATTAAACTCGTTAATGTGTCAGCCGTAAACTGTCTATCATTAGATAAGAAAGAGAGAGAGAGAGAGAAATGGGGTTTAACGTCCACTCGACACAAACTAGGTCATTTCGGGACTAACATATGGTTTAATTTTTATTTACATAATTCGCTTGCGCGTAGGGGTCTTTACATTAGATAAGAAGCATAACGTCTAATTAATAACGAAGGATTAATAGAAACATAAGAATAATAGAAATGTTTAAATAAATGAATGAATAATGAACGAATGAAATATTGAAAGAATGAAATACAAACAATTCACAATTTTATCACCATTATAATTCTACACTTTCGTTTCATCGACACCGCCATCTAGGGCCATGCCACAATTCGGATTCAATTAGGTCAAGTCAGATTACAAATGGTGGCTCAGAACACAACGCACGTTGTGTCGGAATTCTTATTTGAAGAAAGAACTTAATACTACCAGGGCGTCGGACAGATAATCTTGACCTTCCTAGGCAATATTTGTAAATCTACTCCCATGGCACTGTGCACGTTTCCTTTCTACCAAAATCCCCGGCGCGCACATACTTCTCATTTATTTAATTCACAACGCTCGTCTAATGTCTATCTGGTGGAAGTTAAAAAGTCAAGGAAAGGCCAAGGAAATCAGGAAGGAAACCTACTAACACCGTTTGCTTTCTCGCTTAGTCCAAAATATTAAAATAAGCAAATTGTTCAGGGAGGATTTAGAGTATGCTTTAAAGAGTCAAGAGATTGTTGTTGTTCTTTGTGTTTAACGTCCGCTTCCGCCAAGGGTCATATCGCAGACAAATTGTTATCTTTATTATCTTGCCGCATGTACAGGGGTCTTTTCTGTGGGAGCTAGATACCGGAGTACCCGGAGTAAACCCACAAGGTTGGTAAGACACCCCATACGCTTACACCAGGGATTGAAATCACGACCACAAGTCAAGGGTGACCGGTCGGCTAGAGCTCAAAGTGCGACCTCCAGGAAGATTTGAGTGACATTTATAAAGACCGTCAGTGAATTGGTTAAAAAAGACCCAGGATTTCGTCTAGAGGATGACCGCAGTTATCTGCTAAGAGGGATTAAGGCAAATACAGAGTGTTTTATTTACTTTTTATTTATCATGTAGTTCTATAAACTCAACATCTGCTAATAATATTTATTTTTTAAAAAATGGGAGACAAGCCTTTATAGGCCTAAACCTAATGTAAGCATGACGGATGAATGCTGACCCGTGAACAATAGGAACAAGCAAACTCTGAAATCCTTTGTCAAAACAAAGACATTATCTCATGCCCTACATGAAGTGATTAATGCGACAGTAAGTGTCTCAATTTGGGTGAATCAATTACATATAGCTAAAATTGCCAATAATCCGTTACTGGATTAAATCATTGTCAATTATCACAAATATTCATTTAAAAAATAAACATGTTTTCAGCCACACATGATCCCATGACAGCGAACCTGAAGTGACATTTGTAAATGATCATCTACTGGAACAAAACCTTAGATGGATATTGCTGTAATAAAGTAGAGGTAAACAGTATAGTCACTCGGCAAACCTCAGCACATTCCAGTACCCTAACCTCGGCTGTATGACCAAGTCCGCCATTGGAACTACTTTCAAGTTCCGGGATTACCAACGGCCTTGCCAATGACGACGCCTTTGAAGAATGTTTTATCATACAAATATTTCAAAGTCTGAAGCTGTTTTTCTTCAAGTTTATTCGATTTTCTTTAAACAAGGGCAACTTTGAACTGACAATTCTACACACGCTTCGAACGACGAAATTTTGATAACTTCTTTTTAACAGCGGCAAGTTTTCCTAATAAGTAAACGGGCGCCGCATCGCAATTGTATTGGCGCAGGTACATATCACTTACCGTCATACAGCCGAGGCTAGATGTAGAGTAACGGAATCTGCCGGGGTTTGCCGAGTGTGAGTATAGTTGAGACAACAGTACACAGAACAAGGTGGTGAAACTTTGGAGTTATCTCCCGTTTACATTTAATACAGAAAACAAAATTATAACGCTATGATTCTTTGGACCCTACCCTATGTATACTGTTTTATTCTGATTACGTTAGCATAAACCACATTTTGATTAGGTCCTATAATGTCATCACCCATACCTGGTGTCCACCTGGTGTCTGTTAGGTTTTACATTTGAAGCATGTTTCAGTATATCAATATTTAACATCACACTGGCTAAACTTAAACAAACGTAGAATATTTACATGGATATATAAGTATACTGTGTCAATCGTTAGTCTTGTGCATGTTGTGTTATTCGCTAATGTTTTGTATGTCATTGATGTTGTGCACGCTGAGCTGTATCAAACAGGAGTGGTGCATATTGTTTAACTGAAAAAGAGTGGAAACGTACCTTTAGCATAGTTGTAACATTGATGGGAACTTCTCAGCCCCCCCCCCCCCCAAAAAAAAAATATACCCACCAGTTGTAGCATAGATGGGAACTTCTTAGCACCCCCCCCACCCCCAAATACACCCACCAGCAAAAAACCTTCCTTGCTCTATAAACAATGTAAACAATCCCCCTTGTTTAAACAAATCGTTCACAAACATTAGTAAGTGGAAAAAACATGTGATTCTTAATTTAATCAATTCAACTGTTCCCCGCTAATCACCCCTCCCCCCCCCCACACCAATCCCTCCCCTTAATCTTGTTCCAAATTTTTCCTAATGAAATATCTCGCCGAGTTTTGAAGTTCGATAGGGTTCTGTTTGATACCCTAATCAACGATTGACATTATTATCTCACATCAAGGTTTAAGCATATCATTCCGTAGATTATTGATGTTTTTTATGCAACCATAATGTCATTGACGTTCACTCGACACAAACTAGGTCATTTAGGGACTAACATATAGTTCAATTTCATTTCTAGGAGGAGACCGGAGGACCCTGAGAAAACCCACGAGGTTGGACAGGCCACCCTTCTCCTTGCCAAAAACAAACAGGGGATCGAGACCACGCCACGTGTCTCAATGTCAGACCTTCCGGCACCCAACAACCCCACCCACCCACCCCTATTAAGACAAAACGAAAGACAAATCGGCGTTCTAAGCCAAATAATTATACTTACTTATGAGCGTAGACTTGGGATGACGATTAAGCTATCTAGTATAACAACAATAATTATTGAGATAAGTGTAATACCAAGAACTAGTCCCATAATGTTGAACGTACGAGCTGATGACTCCATTATTACAGCTGTCTTCTGATTACCAGCAGCATAGGCAGAACGTGCCTGAAATCAAAAATAAAAATGGGGTTTAACGTCATACTGTTCTGCTCCTATACTGGGTTAATGAAGACGGGCATACGTCATACAGTGTGCTATGACGTATATTTTTTCCGGACAACTGCGCTGTGGCCTACGCTTATATCGAATTCCAAGTGCCAAGAGATCTTTTACGTGTACAGGGTACCTCGGTTTATTCTCACATCCGAACGGCTATACGCTGTCCCTTGCCAGGGCGCTCAGCCCTGCACCACTGACAAGGCAGAACCACGCCGGAAAATCCCGATGAAATTTCTCGGCCAACGCAGATTTCTCGGCCAACGCTGACGACCACGGGACCACCAGGTTAGCAAGTCAAAGTCCTACTCCCTGAACCACAGCGACTCATTGACAGAAATCAAGTTGAGGGTAATCTTGAATTAAAATGTCGCTTTGTGGGCCGATTATCAAATACTTTAAAGATGCGTTATGTAAGAGCTAAAGATGCCTATGCAGATCTTTCCTTTGGCCTGAACTTTTATATAAATCATTGATAAGACATTTATTCACATGGCATGCCAATAATCAGCTCTCTATAACATCGGATCGTTTTGATTGTCAATGGATTTACACACGATTGTTTATTATCGTAACAACGGTTCTTCAAACGAATATATCTATTTTTTTAACTAGTATAGCAAGAACGGTCAACTCTTTATCTAAATCTTACATAATGTATCTTTAAGTTTGATTCAAAGCCCAGCTTAACCGGAGCGGGACCCTGGGCCTCTCTAGAATCGCGGGGCCCCTAACGCGACGAAAAGATTATTTCACATTCTTTTGAATGGCACACATGCATAACACACAATTAAACTGTCTGTCTTACAAGAATAATCACAGAGAAGCTTGAGGGATTGCAGACTCATCTAGCTACGAGGAGAGATGAGGTTTGTTATCTAAGACTCACCCAGTCTCCGCCAATCGCGCCGGTAGAAGCCGGGACCGATCACCGTGAGGGATAGCCCAGTCTCCGCCCTCGAGCCGCTAGATCGATTACCGTGAAACTTTCATCTGAAATTTGAATTTTTTCTCTTTTTGCCATGAACCGCGGCTGGCCTACATTATAATCTATTGAGAAGACGAGAAGGGGGGGTGGGGGGGCAAATACTTCCACATTAAAAAATGAAACACTACTTTAAGCATCATCATATATTATGTGATACATCGTAAGTATATTTACTGTTAACAACGCAACCAATACAATACAGAAGCCATCCCTTAAAGATACATTATGTAAGATATACATAACGAGCTGACCGTTCTTGCTATAATAGTTCACAAATAAATAGTGAAAAACGAATATATAGAAAATTTCATTAAAGTCGCCTCTATCTGGGTGCAGTTATGGGCGTCTTTAGTCTCGGTCACCCAGAACCTCGTGTTTTAGCCCCCTGTGTAAGAGATAGAGAGAGAGAGAGAGGGAGATAGAGAGGGGGTGTTTAACGTCCACTCGATGCAAACTAGGTCATTTCGAGACTAACACATGGTTCAATTTTATTTCAATAATTCGCTTGCGCACAGGGGTATTTAGCAGTGGGAGGAAACCGCAGGACCAGGAGAAAACCCACGAGGTTCGACAGACGACCCAACACCTTGTCACGTACAAGCGGGGCCCATTGTAATATACCTACCTGGAGTGAGTACATTATAGATATGACTCCAAATGGCAAGAAGCAGCAGACAGAAACAAAAATGGAGTACCAAATGGAATACCGGCCTTTACCCAGATTGTTGTGCATGTTCGTCTGGGAATCTTCTACCTGAAGGAGAGATATATCTTTGTGAAATACACGTACATTTCATGATAACACGGATTATAAAGTTAATACGGGTTTATTTTATAAATTCTATTTGAACATGAAATGAAATGGGATTTAACGTCCCCCTGTTCTGTTCCAACAGGGCTAATTAAGACGGTTCTGCCATGATAGTTTAATTCCTATTAGGGAATCACGGTGGCTAAGTGGCTAAGACGCTGGCTCGCTAGCCTGGAGGTCGGGTGTTCGATCCCTGCATTGGCCGAGAAAGTTCATCCAGATTTTCCGGCGTGGTTCTCCCTTGTCAGTGATGCAGGACGGAGGGGCTGACAAGGAAAGTTGTCTAGTCGTTCGGATGGGACGAAAAACCGAGGTCCCGTGTACACATTGGCGTGCACGTAAAAGATCCCTTGACAGTTGGAATTCGATATAAGAGTAGGCCGTAGTGCCGCTGTCCGGGCAAAATTTCCCTTATAGCACACTGTATGGCGTATGCCCGTCTTCATTAGCCCAGTTCGGAGCAAAACAGTAGGACGTTAAACCCCATTTCATTTCATTTTCATTGATTCCTATTATGACAGATTGGACAATCCCAAGTGGCACTTCATGATAATAATCATGTAATATAACCAAAGACCAAGTTGCTTTAATCGGTAATTCTCTGCGCCTATTACAGATCCAATCTGCTTAAAACACGGATCTTATTTCGTTTCGTGTTATTATAGTTTAAAACATCGTTTTACTTGTCTTCACTACAGTTGTTATATAACCCCCGTTCTAGTTGAGGTGAAGGATTAGTCAATCAAATGGTATGTTGCGTCGATTTATCATCTGGCATGGGGAACTGTGAGTAGAATTTTCACGAAAACAAATCAGAGAAAATGTATTTCCGAATACCAGCTTGAAATACCGGTGCTGGTTGGTTAATCGAATGACTGGCGGGATAGAGTCAATGGCCGGTCGTATGATCCATGACGCGACCTCCTATTACAACCAGTGAATCTTCATGTAGTAGAGTCCAACGATAGTATAAAAAAACCGAAATAGATTTGTATTTGAATCGGATTGTTACTGATGAAAGTAGTTAAGCATAGCGTAAATAATCTTTCTATCTCAGTGACAATTGTTCCTTAAAGAGGTTATATAACTGTAGTTACATGGATAATAACTTTTCCACATGGAACGTAAATGTTTGGACACGCCTGCCCTAAAGTATGTAAATCTATTTAACACAATGTATTTGTTTTATCTTGTTTGGGTTGGAGATGAGATTAAAACGATATAAAATATAACTGGTAAACATGTCACCTACACTGCCACCAGCAGGGTGTTGATCTTCATCCATTTGGAATCTTACTTGTTGCGGAGAGTACATATCTTCAGACGATTTCTCTTTTTGTGGTGTAGAGGTTTCAGGTTGAGAGGACCCCGCTTCTTGTTGTTTTTTCCGTTGAATTGAGCTTTCTTCTTGATGCGGAGAGTGTTTCTGTTGCGGAGGGCTTGGTGCTTGTAGTGGAGGGGTTTTCTTTTGAGGAGGGTGTTGTTCTGGTTGCGGAATTTTTTTCTGTTGAGGAGGGTTTGCTTCATTTTCCAGAGGGGGTTTCGTTTGAAGAGGGCGTTGTTCTTGTTGCGACGGGTTTTTCTTTTGAAGAGGGCGTGGTTCTGGTTGCGGAGAGCATTGGTGTTCAAGTGGGTTTGCTTCTTGTAGCGGGGTGTGTTTCTGCTGCGAGGGTTTTGCTTCTTGTTGCGGTGGATATTTCTGTTGAGGAGGGTTTGCTTCATGTTGCGGAGGGTGTTTCTTTTGAGGAGGGTATGGCTCTTGTTGCGGCGGGCTTTTCTTTTGATGGGGGACTGGTTCTTGTTGCGGCGGGTGTTTCTGTTGAAGAGTACCTGCTTCTAGTTGCCGAGAGCCTGCTTCTTGCTGCGTAGGGTGTTTGTTTTGTCGCGGGGGGTGTTTCTTTTTAAGAGGGTGTGGTTCTTGCTGTGGAGGATGTTGTTTCTGTTGCGAAGGGTTTGCTTCTGATTGTTGATTGTCTTTCTGCTGAGACTGACCTGTAACTGAAATTATATTTTAATGTTTAAATAAAATCTGTTACATACATGTTAACTTTTTATGTTACCCCCCCCCCCAACCCTCCCAGTGGCTCAACATATAGACAATCCAGGGTACTGCTAGACTGAAGTACACGCATTATATTACCTATTCTCATTTCAGTAGATGAACAGGGGGCCACGGTAGCTATGTGAGTAAGACGCTGGGTTGTTAGTCTGGAAGACGCGGGTGGACCTGGAAAGTTCATCAGAAATTTACGGCATGATTTCCCCTTGTCAGTTGTGCCGGACGGAGGACCTGACAAAGACAGCTGTATAGTCGTTAACATGGGAGGAAAACCGTGGTTTCGTAGTACACATTGGCGTGCAATTTAACATAATTCGATATAGGAGTAAGTCGTAGTGCTGCTGCCTGGGCAAAATGTCCCTCGTAGCGCACTGTATGGTGTATGCCCGTCGTCATTAGCCCAGTCGGAGCAGAACAGTAGGACGTTAAACCCCATTGCATTTCAGGAGATGGACAATAACATGTATTTTCAATCCGGGACACTGCATGGTGAAGACATACAGAAATCAATAGATAGATAAAGAATACATATAAACCATGTTTATTTATTATTGTATATCACCACAGTAATCAGGTCATTGTATATCGTATTCTATATTGAAGTCATACTGTGTATTGATCATTGATATAGAACTCTCGTTATAAAGGTAGGTTCTCCATTTAACATATCGAACAAGCAGATTTATTCATTGAAACGTAACATACCGTTTAACCTTTGCGTGATTTCTTTCAGAAAAACATAAACTAGTTATTGTTATTATGTATATCGTCGGTGTCATTCCAAAACCTCGTATGTTGTCATTTTTTCGAAAATCATTTTTTTGCATGACTTAATTTATTAACATAAAATACATGATATATGACACTGACGATATAATAACTTGGGGGCGACTTGGACGACACAAATGGTAGGCGTATTATTACTTTAGTAGTCTAAGCTAAGAGGGAGAGAGAGAGAGAGAGAGAGAGAGAGAGAGTAGGTTGACCCGGCGTGGCATGGATATAGCCATGAACCAGAAGTGGTAGTGGTACTCCCCGGTCCGAGCTACCCCTATACACCAACTTGAAGCCTTGGAAAGCATTAGTGTATTCGCCAACCTTGAACAAGCGGACAGATAAACATATTAGTATAGATGAACTGACGTCCTACTGTTCTGCTCTCAGTGGGCGAATGAAGACGGGCATACGCCATACATAGTGCTGTCAGGGAAATTATTCCCGGACAATGGCACAACGGCGTACTATTGTATCGAATTCCAACTTTAACGTGCACTCCAATGTGTACAAGGGACCTCAGTTTTGCGTTCCATCCGAACAACTATAACGTTGTCTCTTTCTGCAGCACTGACAAGGGAAAACCAATATAAATATAAGAAGTAAGAAGACACACTTCATGAGAGAAACGGACCAAATAACTGGCGTTTCTTTGGCAAAGTAGTATAGTGTATTTTGGAAATAGTGAGCATATGCTGCCTCGTGTTCGATACTCATACATCATGAGACATATATAAGTGTTAACGAGTGATGTTAATTAAAGCGAACGTTCGTGCAATTTGTTGACTATTTCATGATAAAAGATGATTATAATCAACCCCCTTACAGTTTAAATGTAATTACAGCTCGGTGTAGCAGGGATGCTAGGAGACGATTGCTTACAAAGTAGTTCTCTTCGTCTAGTCTGTAAATTACGCATCTGTATGATAATGGATATTATAATGTGTATATATGTTCCTGATATTGGTTCAGATTGGTTCAGATTGACTGATAAGAAACTTGACAAGTTTAGGCTCATGTTGTGTTTATGGATTTGTTTAATAGCCAGAAGTAAAACGTGGATATAATCAAAGGATTATTTCATGTCAAAACATCGTCTTTTATATTCTATCGGTGAAGTCAACTTTCGCGACAGATTACAGTGAAAGCGACATTCGACTACAAATTGCAGCAGGCTAATTACAGGTACATATAGATGGTAATGATGGTCGAACTTAAGTATGCGACTGTCATTAGTGATTTTTACAGCTGCAATGAGTAATGTTATTAAACATACATTATGCAAGTTATGCCAGAGCTAAATCTGCCAATTGCAGGTCTTTCTTTAGGTCTGAAATGTTATCTAAATTTTTAATTAGACATTAATTAACTTATCTCGGCCATAATCAACTCTCGGTGTCATTGATGGATTATAACCCTGCTGCTTCTGATTAAATCAGATAATCGAGATTATAATTTTTTATCGTACCGACTTTAGTAATGATGATCGAGGCTAGGCGGAAATTTTCAGCAAATTTCATTTACATTATTTAGTGTTCAAATATTATAGTGAGAACTGACCGCTCTTTATCTAATCTCCCAGAATGTGTCTTTAAATATGCGTGTCGGACTGAAGTCTTAGCAGAATAAGGGACTGAGATAATGGTTAGATCCGTTTGACAAGGCCAAAAGCATATTTCGCCAAGGTCACGCGATGTTAACAGGGTTAGGGCATGTGATTGTTGCCGAGGAATGTGGGTTAGCGTTAGTGTAAAGCGTAAGGCTAGGTCATGGGTTAGGGTTAGCACTAGCCCTGTTAACATCTCGTGACCTTGAGGAAATTATGCGTTTGGCCTTGTGAAATAGAGAGAGAGAAATGGGGTTTAACGTCCACTCGACACAAACTAGGTCATTTCGGGACTAACATATAGTTTAATTTTATTTCAATAATTCGCTTGCGCGTAGGGGTCTTTAGCAGTGGGAGGAAACCGGAGGACCCGGAGAAAACCCACGAGGTTGGACAGGCGACCCTACTCATTGTCACGTACAACTGGGGATTCGAAACCACGCCAGTCGACTCAATGACAGACTTTATGATGCAGCGCGCGCACGCTAACCATTCAGTCATCCAACCCCCCTTGTCAAATAGACTTAACCCTGTGATAATGAAGACACGTTCAGGTTTTATCTAAAGTCATCTATTAAAAGTAAACGTTTATGTGTATAAAAGACTTGACTCAATCTGATCGTAGATTTCAACTCTTATCAAAATTATTACACTTCAACGGATAAACCAATCAGATACAGAACGATTATGAATATGCCCTTATGGCGTTGATGTAAGAACGAGTTTTTGTGTTACTGAAGGGTTATATACCAAGTTCTATTATAGCATTTTAAAGAATCATCACATCAGATAAAAGTCGACATCGAACATAAACACAATCTGTGCACATACTAACATACCGGACGAATTGTGTAGATGTTCGAAGTTAGGTGAGTGTCCGTGATCATGAAGGTAAGCCAAAAGAGGTATCAAAATCATGATTACAATGACGGAAGGTTAAAAAGACAAGGATGCCAACATTAATACCCCCTTTCCTACCAACCCACGGCTGGTAGGTGGTGGTGGGGGAGTCAGTCTAACTAATACCCCTTCCTTTCCGACCAACACACGATTGTTAGTCTAAACCTTGCAAATATAGCGCGAGAGTTATGCAATCACCCATATGAATCCAGGCATTTCGACATCTGAGCCTTTGTGGCAAAGCGGGCCAAACTTGTACCCAGCAGCAACGCCTTTGGATAGAGTCGATATGGTCATTAATACTACCTTGGACAATAGCTGTAACTTACAAGACAATTGCGCCTTCAACCAATATGGTAATGAGAGCGTCGCCAACATATATGAGACGAGCTTCTTGCTTGCCTCCTCTCGCAAGCTTCACAGGAACACTGATCTGCCATATCACCTTGGGTGGAAGCGAACGTTACGTCCGACTGACTGACTAGGATAAACTAACAAATTATCTAAAATCAATACTCACCGTCCACAGTTTCTAGGTTCGACATGATAATGTTTCCTTCGACTATTGTTTGCCTCTTATTAACGTATCCTGAAGAAGAACATGAAGCTATGTATATGTGTGTGAGCAAAAGTTCATAAAAAACACGGATCACGTAATTTAATGTTTTACAATATCTCTTCTAAGCAGGCAATTCATAACATGAATATCCAAGTTCTTTACCTGTAGTCTCGAACAGGTTTCTGAATAACCATTGCTACAAGGGTTCTGTACTGTTTGACGAAGTGTTCACTGTATTGTGGACGTAAATAATGTAATAAGAATTTATAAACACATTCACTCTGACCAGACAATGGTTTGAATGCATATATGTGATTAGGGCAAATAACAAAACCAAATGTTTAAAACGGCCAACCACAACGCTTGTTCGCTATGTTAAATAGTACAGAAAATGTCAGTATATAATCATTGTATAGGGACATGACGACAAAAAAGTCTTTTCACCAACCGACAAAGCTGACTGTTTAGACGGCCATTTCAAAACTCAATCATCCTGCATTTCTCCTCACATTAAGCCGTAATTAAAAGTCATTGTGTACCATCGAACTAAATCTCCAGGAAGTTAAGGACATGCTTCTAACATTTAGTGGCCCAGACGAAATAAGCGGAAAACTATTAAAATATTTAAACCTTTATGTAATATATTTAATATATCCCTAAAAAGTAAAATCGTAGCTGATATTTGGAAATTCGCAAATATCTCTGCCATCCTTAAAAAAAGGCGACACAACAGATTGTGGAAACTATAGACCCGTAGTTCTTTTAAGTATTCTTGCCAAAACTTTCGAAAAATGCATATAAAAACATGTCTTTAACTTCTTCCATGACAATTCTATTATTACTAAACTTCATGGCGGCTTTCTTCATGGTGAATCTACTGTCTAACAACTTACTGACCCAACATACGCGTTTTGTCAAGTCATCGATCAAGGTAAATATACGAGAACAATGTTCTGCGACATATGCAAAGCTTTCGACAGGGTCTGGCACGCTGGACTCCTGTCATCTTGAAGGGGGACGTTCTTCACTGGTTCAAAAAATTATTTAACTAACCGAAAACAAAGGGTTGTTGTGAATGGCGCCTCCTTCACCCCAGACCAGTTACATCCGGTGTTCCGCGGAGCTCTGTTCGCGATCCCCCTCTATTTCTAATCTATATAAATGATATCATAGATAATATCAATTCAACCATTCGTTTATTTGTTGACGACACTACTCTGTATCTGTCAATCGATGATCCTGCTGCTAATGCCGATACCATTAATAATAACCTAGATTAAAATATATTGTATAAGATTTTACGGCTCTTTTCACCATTTTAATCTGAGTTTGTGTTTTTTGCAGCATCTTCCTGTTCAAGTATAGAGGCTAATGTTAATGCGCACCACAGGATTGTGTCGACTGAATACATGAGTTATATATACAATTATTACACGGATAGCTATAAGTAGGTAAGACAATATCCTCAATATTGAACATCTAAAAAGATCATATTATCGATAATTAATATTGATTATTTCACAAAATCTAAAATCTAGAAAATAAAATGCAGCTGTTATTAAAAATATGTTTATATTGTTATATCCGTATAACACTTGTCTTTCACTGTCTAATATTGTTACATCCGTATAACTAGCTTTCATTAAAGACGTGACGACATTTCTACTGTCTAATATTGTATGGATTCTAGTAGTTACCATGGTTACCTATATTTTGTTAGAATATATCTAGTTATCACCATGGTTATCAATCTATCTAATTGTTAGAAATAAGCGAACCACCTCCTTTAAAACCAATAAAGCCTGTCATTGAGTCAAGTGGCGTGGTTTCTAATCCTCGGTTGTACGTGACAAGGAGTAGGTCGCCTGTCCAACCTCGTGGGTTTTCTCCGTTTCCTCCCACTGCTAAAGACCCCTACACGTAAGCGTATTATTGAAATAAAATTAAAAACCATGTTAGTCCCGAAATGACCTAGTTTGTGTCGAGTGGACGTTAAACCTCATTTCTCTCTCTCTCTCTCTCTCTCTCTCTCCTTTAAACCCAGTAGTAATAACAATGATCATGTTTTCTGTTTGTTTACCATAACTATCGAAAACTACGTTTATGGATTATTCTCTATCGGCATCTTTTTTCCACGTTTAATTCTCCCAAAGATCACACATTAGGTCTTCACATCAGCGGTTCTTGTTTCACTTGAGGAGACAGACTGACTTTCTTTCGTGCCCCATGGATGTTATTCAGGGAAGCCAGAACTTGTCTAATAAGATTAGGTATCTCTATTTTCTACATGTACTGTCCTATAAATATTTACGTGGGAATGTATCTTTAAGAGAATGATAAAATAAAGATAAGTTTTAAGTTTTGTTGGTCTGTTTTGGTGCAGTTCAGTAAAGAGTGAGTATACTTATTTGTTACTGTCTGTTGTAGTTCAGTACAGAGGGACTACACCGATATGTTAGTTGTGTGAACTCCTATAATAACTAATACCGTGATACACAATCTGTACAGGACAGACCACGCTCAGGTCGACCAAGGGCGACAACTCAAGCCCAGGATTGATTTATCCGTACCTTGGCCTTGAGAAATCGTGTCATCACAGCAAATCAGATCAGCGCTCGTCTTCAAACAGACACTGGTGTGAGAGTGAGTGGCCAGACGATTCGGAATCGACTGCATAGGGGTCACCTTCGCGCCCGACGTCCTCGCGTGATCCCTTGTTTGAGAGATCATCACATTCAGGCAAGACGTCGTTGGTGTAGGGATCGTCAACACTGGGATAATCGACGCTGGAGCAATGTGATGTTTTCAGATGAGTCAAGGTTCACTGTTGATTTTTTGGACAGACGTAGGAGGGTGTGGCGTCGTCGAAACGAGCGCTTCCAAGACGTTAACGTCATCAGACATGATCGATTTGGGGGTGGTTCTGTTATGGTGTGGGGAGGCATCACTGTTGCTGGAAGAACGGCTTTACATGTTGTTGCAGGGCGTGTTACAGGCCAGTACTACCGGGACAACATCTTGGCAGTCCATGTTGTGCCGTTCGCACGACGTCATGGCCGCCGTTTCATCTTCCAGGATGACAACGCAAGATGTCACAGGGCCAGGATCGTTACAGGTTACCTCCAACAACAGAACATCACCACATTACCTTGGCCAGCACTGAGTCCCGACCTCTCCCCCATCGAGCATGTCTGGGACATGCTTGGACAGAGGTAACGTCAACGTCAACAACGTCCTGCCAATGTCCAAGAACTTGCTGCTGCGTTGCAACAGGAATGGGACAATCTGGACCAAAATGACCTTAGACGTCTCATTAGGAGTATGCCACGTCGGATCAATGCTTGTTTGGCAAACAGAGGAGGATTTACCCGTTACTGACTTGGTTGTGATGCTGTGGTAACTTTGCTGTTTGACCCCGGGTATCATTTTACCCTTATAATGGTCAGTCTGTGCCTTACTTAGTCTAACGATCATTTGGAATAAATCGATAAATGTGAACTTCATTTCATTTTGTCATTTGTTTCTTCGTCAGTTTCATTAGGTGACTTTAATAACACTTAAAAATCAAATATCCCCTACTTTTTTTGAATAGTATATTAGAACCACTTCCATAATAAAGCAAGTTTACTACAAGTCCTGGTGCAAAGGTTCTTATTGTTAACTGATATTTTAAAGAATTTCACAAATCTTGAGTGCAGCTGATCTTCAACAGCATGATCTTGACATGAGAGAGGTAGTAGTTTATTATGAGTGCGACAAGGCAGATTAAGTAGTCGACGAATACATCTATGCCAGGTACAGTCCCACAATACACTTCCATATAAAGGCATACAATAAGTTTTAAAAAGCTGATATTTTGTGTCTGATAATGTAAAATTAAATTGATTAAAAGTAACATTGTGGGGTCTCCGTAGACCCCAGGCACATGTTTTATAGTGTTTTGTAACAATTACTGGGTACAACTTTCTGAAATTTAGTGACTTTGTCTCCAATACATTTTTACACGTAGCAAAGAGATCGGTATTCATATGCTTCCCACATGCAGAGTTATGTCACATGCAAATCAGGCTTGAAGGAAACCATATTGCGTATGCCAAAGTATTCCCTCTTTTAGCATCTGCATGTTACAAATAGCAAAAATTAAATGATGAATGATGAATTCCAAATATTGAATGTTTTTTGTATAAAGCTTGAATTGCCATTTAACCTCTTTATCACATAGTACACAAAGTAGGAATTTGGTGAGAGTTATTAAATCTTTTCCATATGCCACTAAAATGTTTTTGGAAAATAATTTAGTTTTTCAGATGTCAAATATGAATGCAAATAAAAACCAAACCGCTGCCTTTTAATTCAAATATATCTGTACGTAAAAACTTGAATTATAACTAGGGTCCATATGGACCCCATGATACCTGCTATGTGATTCTCACAACGTGGACCCACAAGGGTTAAAAGTAACATTGAATTTAGCAATAAAACTATCTATTCCCTTCTGAATTGTATGTTCAATAATATCCCAAAGTATAGAGTCGCCTAGATGCGGTTCATAATGTACAACATTAATACATTTACCGTTAAAATAAATATCTTTAAAATTGCTATCGTTCTGCTTATCATGACTAAACAAGGGCAGTTTATTTTTGTCAGGGTTAAATTTAACATCATATTCCTTTGAGAAGCTGGCACATAATGTGGGTCAATGGCCCGAAGAGCATAGTGGTACCGTGCCCTGGTGCGACTTCTAATGTCAGTCAAATGAACACAATGAGGGGAGTTGTTATCTTTCCAAATGTTATGCCAAAATATGGTTCAACATTATCGTTCCAGCCAGGAATTACCTGTTGATTATTACCGGGTTTGAAATACGGTATGATCGTCGAGCTAGCATCAATGCTTATTCTTACAAGTTTATTGTAGTAATTATTTAATTCTATGCGATGAATTGAACATGAAAGATCTGTACATTTTATGGCACTTTAAGGGACTTCAATATCACTAAGAAAATGTTCAAATTTTTCTTTTCTTTGTTTGCGAGCAATTGTTGTTTTGAAGCCTTTTGCCATTTTACGACTGGGCTGTCAACTACATGTTTCTCAGAAGAGACAAAGGTTTCGATAGTTAAGTTGAAAGTTCTACTTATGGCGGCATGGTCGGACAGATTATCGCCCTCATGTTTCGAGACACCGTTTTAAATTCTATTAAATAGACTCTCTGACAAAATA